TGCTTGGTTGGTTGGTTGCTTGGTTGCTTGGTTGGTTGGTTGGTTGGTTGCTTGGTTGCTTGGTTGCTTGGTTGCTTGGTTGCTTGGTTGCTTGGTTGCTTGGTTGCTTGGTTGCTTGGTTGCTTGGTTGCTGTGTTGCTTGGTTGCTTGGTTGCTTGGTTGCTTGGTTGCTTGGTTGCTTGGTTGCTTGGTTGCTTGGTTGCTTGGTTGCTTGGTTGGTTGGTTGGTTGGTTGGTTGGTTGGTTGGTTGGTTGGTTGGTTGGTTGGTTGGTTGGTGGGTTGGTGGGTTGGTGGGTTGTCTGTTTGTTTGGTTGTTGTTTGCTTGCTTTGTTTGTGTGTGTGTGTGTGTTGTTGATCTGTTTGTCCATCACTATGATTGTGACTTGTGACCTTACCTACCTTACCTATTTTTGACTGTCGTCCGTTTCCACAATAAAATGTGTTGCCAGTATTGCATGAATGTACGCGCGTATGAACGGGTCACGAGCACACAAGTTTACTGGAGGGGCTAGCGACCCAACAGGACTATCCTGGATGCGGTGCTGCCTGCGGCGGAGGCGGGGCGTCGACACGAGCTGCTAAAGATTTGTTGATGGCTTTACGAGCCCCTTCATTACCAGGAGCTATGGAAATGGCGCACTGTCGCAAAATGCGGGAAAGTTCCCCTTAGCCGCTGACCCTTGACCTCAAGATAAACTTCCTGCGGCAATGCTGCGGCACAAGTCAACTGATGGTGCGTATCGAAGGAAAGGCTGTCGTAGCACATACCTGGCTTCGGGTCTACTGTTCGGCAGGCTGAGGGTTTCATGAGACCCTTGGAGTCGAAGTTGCCGTTGCTCGGTGGTCTCGAGCAACGAAAGTCATCTCGAAATCTTAGACCCACCCGGCCCCCAATACCCTGGAGCCCCTCCAGGCCTTGCGAGCCTGCGCAAAGTCGCCGAACGCACTGGCCGCCGCCCGGATGAGGTATTCTGGATTGTTTCGGTGCTGCGTGCTTTCTCGCAGCTCTTCGACCGCAAATGCTTGAGGCGGGATGTCAGAATGTCTAAGGGTGCAGCGCCAAGGAAGCCGTGAAGGCGGCGAAACAGGGCGCCAAGAAGACCCAGCAAATGGTGGCGAAGAAAGGCTGGGCCTCGAGTCTGGAGTTCAGGGACTAAGTCTAAGGAATGCTGATAGCTGAAGCGCGTACAGCAATGCTTCAGAGCACACAGAAACTACGTGCCATCGCTGAAACCGGGACCACACGAATTGTGCACGAGCAGATCGGTTTCGACAGTGCCACCGTGTGGTCGCCAGGACGTGCTGTCCACGTGCCACACAGCCGACAAGCACGCTCGCCCGACCCGGGTGCCGTAGGCTTCGCAAAGTGGCTCGAAGCGGTGGAGAGGGCACTCCGGGATTAGGCGACGCTGAAGCGCGAAACTGCTTCTATTCGTTGAATTGTGGTCTGCAATATCTTGTACATGCACTTTTGGCGGCAGAGCTTGGAGTTACGAGGCCCAGAGCCCTGGCCAAAGCCAAAGCTTCTTTTGGGGTCTCCCGGCCTTGCTAAAAGCTCGGACGAAGCCACCGGGAAGCCCAATATTTTCCTCCGGGCCCAAAGTCGGCAGGAGCGGACATGGGAGAGACGAAAACCAAGCTGCGAGATTGATGCATGCTCGGCATTGAAACACACCCTCTCCAATCACATATGTGTTTGGTGACCACCATTTTCAAATAGCAGCAGCAGCAGCAGCAGCAGCAGCAGCAGCGGTGGTAGTAGAAGCCACAGCGCTTGCAAGCCACCGCTCAGAGTCTCGTGTTTGGTGCGGAGGTTCTCCGGCCCGTGAGATTGAAGCGTTGTTCCAAGCGAGCAGTAACAGTCGTAGCTCTGGTAGTATATCTAGTTCGTTGCTCAGCAGCTGCCTTCGCTTCACCTCCATCCTTTCATTCGAGTCTCGCCGAAAGTTTGTTCGGTCGGAAGCGGGAGCGGAAGCGGGCTGCGCGCAAGACGGCTGGGCTGCCAGAATTCCACCAAAAGCCACCTTTCTTCGCCCATCTCTTTGCTCGAGCCTTCCCTTGGCCACCCCAGCCGTCGAATGGCCGGCCATGCTGTGGGTGGAGGGAGGCCGGAGGGCCGGATCCGCCCCGCACTAGTTAACTAGTTCAGGGATTGAGCAGAGCAATGTTGAATAGCTGGACTATATCTGGGTTTGAGAAGCTTGCAAGCTATTGCTTTCTCATTTTCTAGGCGACAGCATGTTGAGTTGTGTAGTAGCGCTACACCTGCGGAGGCAATGTGTGTCGTTGTTTGTGGCCGTGCGAAATTTCGCGAATGCGGGTTGCATGCGCACGAGCTCTCTTTACTCGCGCAGCTGCTGACACGGCACCCTCGTGTTGTTTCCCGTGGACTCCACGACATATCGACGCCGTAAACTGGAAGCCCCTGCAATTCGCTCTAAATGTCAGAGAGAAGCTCCACTAGGATGTCGGTCGTTGCCGGAGCTCAGTAATTAGTTGCTTCACGTTACCACCAATGCCCGGGCGGCCCCTATCACCGCAGAGCTGCACAACTCTGAAAAAGCCGGCAGGCTATTGCACAGGTTGAAGCCGGGTGTATCAGACTGCATCGTCTCTCTACTCCAGTTTCGGCTTTGGCAGTTCAACCTGAACACTCCGCAAGTGGACTTCCACAACCTGGCTAGCTCTCGTGTTTGTCTGACGTCTAATAATAATGATCATCAGCTTTTCTGGCAGGCCCCAGATGAATCCATCCGAGAGCGCTTCGTATGTCGAGGCTTGCTGAGATCTGGTTCAGGATAATGCAGGGCGCAGGGCTTCAAGCGTCAGCGGTGCCCAGGCAGTTCTTGGCAGCGAAGTAGTTTATGGAAAGACGAAGAGGATGCGACGTGATGGATGATGTCTGGTACATTGCTGGCTGTTTGTTTCATAGCTAGTTCTATCGTTCTATCTGACGCCCACTGTCTGGCTCGAGAGCTTGTCCAGGTTGCCCGTGTTCCATCCCCTTGCCGGCTCCAAGGGCTTACGGTCTCAGGAATCTCTGGCACAGCCGCTCTTCTGTATAGAGGCATCTGCAACCCGAAAGGTTGTTGATCCCTATTCCAACAAAATCTCCGACTTCCAGCTTTGCGAAACGCAGTGGTAGCTGTCCTTTGGGTCCTAGTTGTGTTAAGTCACGGTACAACGTTACCTGAAGGGACTGATTCCAATTGGGTTTGAGCCGAGTCCCTCAGCCAATTTGAGCTCCTAACAGGCGTTTGCAGAATGCTGGAAGGCTTCAGGCCAATTATTCCCTTCGCATGGACAGCCGTCGTTATCATCATAACCATGATGAATGCTGTGTACAGAGTATCTCCTTTTTTGCAGGGGACTCCATTGCAGACTCCGTTGAAGACTGTTTTGAAGACTCACTTGAGACCTCCCTCCTTCAAGACTTCCGTGCGCACTGTGAACAACACGACGTCGGACATCCCGGAGTGTCCGAGATGGACAGAGAGGACGATCCTGTTTGTGGGGGACTCTATCGAGCGTTACATGATGAAAGCAGTGTTCCCACGATGTCCCGAAAAGGGCGGAGGGGTGGTCAGCCACATGGATTGCTGGGATGCAGACAAGCTGCTGCACGTCCTTTACATCTTCAACAAGTTTGACGTTTCCACGCAGGGGCCCTGGCACAAAATCGACAGGAAGTCCAAGTTTGAAGTATTCACCGAGGCACTACGGAACTTGACTCTCGGACTTGACGTGCATGAGATCTGGCTTGGGACAAACTTCTGGACGCTGGCCCGCCTGAGCAATCATAATCAAACCCTCCTATTAAGCATGGATAGCGGCAGCACGGATGTAGCGACCGCTTATGCTGCGAATCTCACCAAACTCATGAACACAATTCAGAAACTGGTCCCGAGCAACCGGCAGGGGTATCTGCAACGCTTTCCAGCTAGAGACACCATGAAGCGGGGGGATTATTGGTGGGGAAACCGAGTGCAGCAGTTGAATGCCGCTGGTACAAAGGCTGCTCTTGCGCTTGGATGGCGCGTCTACCGAACGTACGATCGTAAGGTGGACATCCGAGACTCGATACATCCTACAGATGCCGTCCTGGTTGAAACTTTCCAGACACTGACCGGACACCGGGCTGCAGACCAAGCCTACCAGGCCTACCTTCCTGGCAGACGCCCAAAGCCTGGCGCTCCTTGCGACAAAGTGCTTGCTAACTATTCTGTGAGGCACTGTCGTTCTGGACCTGGACAGCTTGTCGTGGCTCAAGATCTTCGCCTGCAGGAACATCCTTACGCGCTTCGAAGCTTTGGATACCTTTGCGAGTTAGCATTGCTTGGACGTGTGCGCCCATGTGTGGCGTTCAACCTACGACATTTTGATAACGTTTCTATTGAAGTCGGTTTGGACATTCTTGCTCCACAATGCGAAGTCCACACATTTCATCCCTGCAATGACTCAGACAACACCTTAGGGCAGAGATATAACTTCACTGAACACTGCATTACCTGGTCCCCCAGCGGGTTCATGTCAACGGTGGCTGCACAAAGGCTCGGACACAAGCACGTTGATGCCTTCATGATGGATGTGCAAGGACAGGAGACCGTCTTCCTGCTGCACCTGCAAACCACAGGCTTCCTGCACGAGATTGACCAGCTGCAAATCAATTTTTATTCTGTGGACAGCATGGAGATCTGCTTGGAGATGTTGATTCGCAGCGGATTCGAGGTGAAGTATGCCCGGTGTGGCGTCCCATGCGACTCCTGGCTCCTGCACTCAGGTCACTCTGCAGCTAGCTACGGCTTGCAATATCTCCCGAAAAGACGATCCGTCAGCATCACGACATGACAGGTTAGCTTAGACTCAGACTGTGTTGTATTAGACTGTATAGAACTGTGAGTGTATGTAGAGTTCCTTAGGAATGAATCCTGGTCAGTGCATGTTTTGGATAGTGGTATGGGGAGACCTCGGTGGCAATACAGACCCTACTCCATATGCCGAAGCTAGCTGAGAGACGCGCTTTTCACTCTCCACGCAGGCCCAGCGCTCGGACGAAGATCGGAAGCCACTGCTCGCGAAAGGTTTGGACAAGTGGGAAGGCAAGTGGGACGCATTGGGACGCCTTCCTTGAATGTAGAATTGACGGTGGGTGCGAACTGGAGATGCCAGCCAGGGTGCTGTCGGTCGATCGCTGTACAAGTGCTCGCTGCGAGCAATATCGCAGTAAGCATGCTGATAGGTCTGATGAGAGTGCACGGTGTGATGTGCCTGTCCAGCACGATAATGTTGAAATTGCGGTTGATGTTCATCAGAAGTGACAAATACTTCAGAGATAATCTAAAGCAGCACATCCATAAGCTGTCAACATGTCCGAAATCGCTCACCAATCTATCGTGGTCGTCATGATGCCGACGGTAGTTATGGTCATGATCGCCGTCGTCAAAAATCTTCATAGTGATGGTGATGATTCGGAAGACGGTGACAGAATTGTGCCGAGCATCGTGGTAGGTGAGGTTCTTCTTTGCACCCTGCCATTGAGCGCGATCATTTAACGCGATAGTCACAATCGCATGGCAATCGAAGTGGCAGTGGGTATTGCATCGCAAGTTCCTGCCAGCGTTGATAAGAGGGATTGGCAGTGAACATGGGCAAGGCGGAAAGATTCTCGCTGTCAGCGGCCAAAATGGAGCTGAGTATACAAGCAGCGAGACTCCCCTTTGCGCCACCGCTTTTCACTTGAGAGCCTGAGCCCCAAAGCATCTCCAGCCCGAGCGGCAGTTCTTCCCGCAGGCTCCGGCTTCGTCTGGTCGTTCTCTGTGTTAGGACCAGGACTGGGCAGGGCCTCGGTCCGTGGGGGAGGTCTCGTGTTGGGAACATCTGCCATCAAGGACAAGTGGAAGGCGGGGCGGAGATCTGTTATCGCCCCTGATGCTCAGCCACGGATAGGATCATGGTAACTGAGCAGCCTGTCTTCTTCGAGTTGCGAGGCTACAAAGTCTGTTGGGGCTTGGCTTGCGACACTCGAAGGATTGCAGGATCACACGAAGATCATACGTGAATTTAACTAGTAGGCCTGCCCGCAGGCAGGTCTGGAGCCTCAAACATGCACTCGTGCCCAAACTGAGCTCTGCAGTTCAACTGACGATCCTACCCGAAGACTCTCCACAGCGAAACGCGCCAAGCAACAGTTTCAAAGTTCAAAGGACTCCTGGTCTGCTTAGCCGACACTGATGCCGGCTGCCTGCTGGTGGCGGGCCAGTCTGGCTCGAGGCGAAGTCGAAGAACTTCCGGCACTTCTGGGCTTCAAGGGGGCGCTGTAGGGCTCAGGCTCAGGCCTTGCTATGGGGACCAGAGTCCTGGAACCCTGACCCTCAGATTTGGGCACGTCTTATGCTTCAGAGCAGGAGAAAACCACTCAAGGGATGGCGGGTGTTGCGAGCCCACACAGACGCCGGAAATGGGGTCTTTCCAGAGATAAATGCTGGTTAATCCTTTTGAAAAGCACCTAGAGCAAGAGCCACGGAACCTTTTCATGCATTGAGCCCTCAAGTCCAAGAAGTTCCTCCGTCCACCAGGTGGGGCTATGCCCTTTTGCCGCTGCAGGCGATTTTGGCAAGGGCTTCTTTGCAGGGCGTTGGGCTTTGTGTTTTACCGTTCCGATTCGAACCCCAGAATCTAGACTCCTAGACCCTTAAAGCCCAAACTCTACACAGCCACGCGCTTGCACCTTGACACCGGCCATGAACGGCACCTGGGGATCCAGTCTGTCTAACAAGGCTTTTTGCGCGCTCGTTATTCTGGCCGCTATACTACAGTATGCTATAGTAGCGTTGAAACCCCGATCCCCTGCCTGAGGTGCTGTCAGAAGTGGGCTCGAGGCGAAGGTCTTGCAGGAAAGCTTTGGGGCTCGAGCACGAAACCTGAGCGAAAAGACCCCTAATCAACGATCCCCGCCCCCCAACCCCCTCCTGTGATTTCTCAAACTTTCTAAGAATGCAAGAGCAGAATCCTCTTTCTGGGAGAATGGAAAATCGTCGTGCCTCTTCATCTGTCTGACGTCCTGTCTGATTGCCACAAAGCCGTATAACTCCACTTAGTACTCCAAGGCCGTGGTCTACAGCAGTCCTGGCCCACTGACCCTCTGTCTCGAAGAGCAGTGCAGACCGGAGTCGGCTGGCAGGTCTTCTTGATCCCCGTGCTTTTCATGGCGCAGGCGAGGCGAAGAAAGATGAAGAGAACAGACCCCCGAGACCCTGAAGGCCTCCCTTGAGCCCCTCAAGGCCCGAAACGTCATCGCCAACCCAAGCCTTGCAACGGCTATACCTGGTGCGTCCATAGAACCCAGCGACAGCGGGCTGCACGTTGCAAGGGATCGGCTCCCTGAAGCTCCAAAGACCCGCCATGCCCCACATGTCACAGCCACGAGTTCGGATTTGGGGGTTAAGCCGAAGTCCCCCCCAGAATATCCCCAAATCCTGCAGGATCTGACCGTGCGGCTCGGTGTTTGCACGCAGCAAGGCCCACTGGGTCAAAGGGTACTTCCGAGGACCATAGGAATCATTATCCTGCCACCGACACCGCAATGCTTCGTTTTCAACTTGGACTGGGTAGTGCCTCCATTTTGCGATCATTGTCATTAGCTCATTAGCCAAGATTGTCCAGCCGGCCCCCTTGAAAGGCCACAGTGCCTGCATTCGGGACAACTTCGGCCGTGGATGGTGCGCCCAAGGGACTTGCACAGTCCCGAGAATGTTTTAGCATGGGATGCTGCATGTCGGCTTAGGGAGACTGTTCGATTCAGGAAAATTTTGAGTGAGGGATTGAGAGTAGATATGCCTCTGGCATGCATGCACATGTATGAGGCAGTCCAAGGCTGCATCGAGGATGTGATTTTCCAGAATGACGGGTGGCACTCAACCAAACCCTGCAGGTGCTGGTTTACAACCGCCCTGCTCATTGTGGAATGCATCATCGCCATGGTTTCTGAGATGGTGTGGCCGGCGCCAATTAAACCGTGACTTTCCCCTTCCTTGCTCAGATACTCGTGCCGATGGGTTCAGTGTGGGTCTGGACTTTCGAGCTCAGACCGTGCCTATACCTTGTCAGGAGATCTATAGGCCTGTTGCACAGAGGATTTCAAGGTCATCGGGCTCCGTCGAAGCCATGGGCATGCTCATCTCGCTCGTGACCGCTCTTGGGCTCAGGCCCTCCACGAGGCCCCAGCCTCCCAGCCTTCTCTCTCCTTAATTACGTGCATGTGTGACTCAGTGCACAGATGGACTGCGATGCCAGAGCCCTCTGGATCCGCTCAGGAGACGGATGGCTCCTTTGCTTGCGCTTGCCGCGCAATGATCCTGTGTTGCAGTCGGCAGCCAACATTCTGGACGAGGCATTGCAAAGGGAAGGAAGGGAAGGCGCACATCCGTCCAGAGACGATGCATTCGAGGAGGATGCACAGGCGCTGATGGAGACTCTGGCTCCCTTCTGGCCTGATGAGTCCTACGGAATGCAGCTGTCTTTCGGTGCCAGCTCTGGTGCTGGAGTGGGCCCAAACAAGCTGCATCGCACTCGTGTGGCCCGGCTCGCCCTAGGCTTGAGCTTGTTTATGGGGAGCAAGGCAGGCCGCAAAGAGCTCCTGCTCTTGCTGACCCGCTACGACAGCCTGCAATCCTTGGTTGACGAGGTTTGGCACGCCCCGGAGGTGTCCCCTGAACCCAAGCTCCCCGACACGCCCACGAACGAGGAGAACTACGACTTTGCAGCCAGTCTCCTCACCCTCCATTATGGCCAGACGCTGATCTTCAACACGCCGTTGAGGCGTGCAGGAACCTTTCAGTTTCAGTGGCCGGAGGTGCGGTGCCTCGGCTGGCACCTTCGAGGAGTCTATCAGCCTGCCGGCGGCCATCTTGCACGACCATAGTGACCCACACCTGCTGGGATACGGATGGGGCCAGCAGTCTCGCACAAAGAGCGCAGCTCATGTTGAGTTTTGCGGAGTTTTGTATAATTATAATGGTTGAGCAGCACGAGCTGCAGAGCCTGCACTCATCTTGAGCTCCCATCCCATGATCAACACAACAAGTCCGAAATCCTCATTGCAGAGCGGCGTGGCCGCCGTGGGTCGCTTGTGGGGTGCGCCACCCAGCGCTTGGGTCGGGGTCTGCTTCGCAGGGACTGTCGATTTTCGTAGACGTTGCCTGAACACGTGCGCAAGCTTAGCCTTTGGCATCGGACTGTAGAATGGCTTAGGATCCTGAATAATCAGCATCTTTGTCCTCCTCTGAGGTAGGGTAAGAAAAGGTGGCAGCACACCGCAGCATTGCAGAGAGTTGAGGGTTCCAGGTAGGTTGCGAGTCTTCGATATCAGGCCTCAGAACTTCATTTCAGGAAGTTGCACACAGAGGTGTTTGGGAAGCAGAACCCCAAAAGACTGAAACTCTCGAAAGGTCTCCCGGGTTGGATTGTTCCGGAGTTGAGGTGTGGGATTCCGTGGTTCGGGTGAAGGGGCTCAGAGAGAGAGAAGGTTTGCAAGAAACTTGGAATGAACCAGCTTTCCAAAACCCGAAGTCTGCGCTTTAGGAATGGTTGTTGTGCGGCCGTCTTCGGGTTGAACCAGAGTCCGTCGGTGCAGCAGGACTGAGCAACGCGGTGGCAGTGATGCTCGCAGCTGTAGCAGCGACCTCGGACCTGCGATGCAGCGGAGACCTTCGAAGCTCCCACAAGGTTTTGGACGGAGCGTCCGGAGACCCCGCTGTGGAATCAGGAATGCTGAAGTCTGAGGTATCCCAGCGTGCAAAGGCCCCGTCTAGGACATTGGGGGTTTTGATGCCAACTTGGCCCCAGGTAATTCTGGCAGCTGTGGTCGGGCTCCGCTACCGCCAGATCGAGGTGGGCCTGCAGTTTGGCAAGAGTTGTAGGGGACTTGAGACTCGTAATTACGGCTTGTGGGTTCTTTGGGACCCCTACAGCGCTTGCGGATGCCTGAGTCAGGGGCCTGGGGCATTGCGAGAGACGGATGTTGGCGGGAAGTTGCCACCCTGAAGCCTTGGCCATGCGACCGGGCAATGCTCGCTGCTAAGACTAAGAAGCAATAGCACCTGAGTCCTCGATACCCCTAATTAACCCTAAAAGCTCTCAAAGCCTAACCCTCATAAACCCAAATAGCCCCGAAACGTAAATGCCTTGAAACCCTCAACCCTGAAGCCCGAAAAAATCATCTCTGTGCGGCGCGAAGGCTTTGGGCATCGCATTCGGCCTTTGCGAACTGGTCTTTGCCCACTCCTCGGCTGCGCGCTTCGTTCCCTGGTTGCCCTTGAAGGGCCAGGGCTCGTCTTGATCTGCAGCCGCATCCATGTGTCCATCGGCGACTTGTTGTTGATCGCGTTGCTTGTTGCAGATTGCCCTGAAGCAGGGTTGGATATCACGGCGTTGTTACTGTCCTGCTGGTGTGCGTTGGTTGGAGACTCACGTGTGCAGCGCATCCCGGCGCTGTCGCAGGGTCAAGGCTTAAGTAAGTCTTTGCTTTTAAGCGGAAGCGAGGCATGTTTCCACGTCACAGCCAATCCTTCAAAGCCCTCAGTTCTGCAACTTTCATTGCCCTTTGCATCAATTCTATTCACTGCTAGATAGAAGTCGTTGACCGGCGCATGCCAGCGAGATGACTAACAACCTGTCGCGTTGTCCTTCCACTCCGGCCGACGTAGACGCCATCCGCGTGATGCAACCGCATCCTGGCCAAAGCTTTTCACGGCGAGCCCGCAGCCTGTTCCACAGGAAGGGGGCGGCGGTCATCTTGTGAATTGCAGACGTCACCGTCACCCTGATCTCGAAAGTTTGAGCACCCCCAGCGGGTCCCTGGTTTCCACGATCGCTGCACCCGTAATCCTGTTGTCAGCTCGATTTAACACTACCGAATGCTACTCGTATCTGATCCTCGTACGCAGAGTACGGTACTTCGGCGAGCTTTAGTCAACATGCTGAAACCCCAAGCCCCATGTCAGCCACCCGAGGCAGGGAGTACGCAACTCGAGCATTCGAGCTTCAGGATTTCGAGGTTTGGATGACAAGATTGATGTAGACAAACGACCTCAGCTCCAAGCCCTTCGCCTCTTCGCGTGCGCAGGACGAGGGCCAGAACCGAGGGAGCAGCTTGGCTGGCAAGCGAGGCGTACGATAGCATCAGATCTGAAGCTCATGGTCAAGCCTGAACCCCTAAAACAAGAGTTAAAATTCAAAACCCTAAGGCGCCAAACCCTTGTAACCCGAAACCCTAAGAGCAGGAAACCCTGAGCCCCAAAGCATAAACTGCCTCCCCCAATGTGGGTTGGGAAGACGTCGGCGGACATCCAAAGAGCCCTCAAAAAAAAAACTGAGCCCAAACCCTTGAAACCCTAAAACCCTAAGAGCAGGAAACCTAAACCCTAAACCCTAAACCCTAAACCCAAACCCTGAGCCCTCGAAAGCTTCCGAGAGTCGCTTTCGAGGCTTTGAGCCTGCTGCGCCTCAGAGGCCCGGGAAGGGTCAGGTCCGGTTTTCAGGGATTTTAAGGGGAGGTAGGTAGTGTTATTAGGGGTACCCCTTAAAGGGCACCCCTTCTGAACCCTACTTCTGGCTCTCTTAAAAGGGACCTTATTGAGAGTGTCTATATCCCCCAAAAATCCCCCGAATCCTAGCTCCCAGGAGGGCCGGGATTTAGTTCAAGAGTTGGGGAAGTTGGGGAATGGCTGGGGTTGGGTGGAAGAGGGTTTGGGGCTCCCGGGTGTGTGTCTTGGGGTTTAGGTTTACGGAGGTCGAGGGCTTTCTGAAGCTTGGACTTAGACCTACATGCAAAAACAATGCACGTTCAGCCGCTGATTGGCTCTTCCAGTCTAAGAGCATTGGGCGCTTGAGGTAGCATTCAGGAAAGATCGGCTTCAAACAGGGTGTGTGTGTGTGGAGGTAGTGAGGGAGAGGGAGGCAGAAGAGCAGGATGAAGGCTTGTTGTCCACACGGTGTATGTCGCAGAGACAGATTCAGGCATGATCAGGCTGCTTCTCAAGCTGTTTTTTTCTGAGCACGCTGGAAGGCATCACCCGCATCCACTCCGACCTAGAAACAGAGGCTCCGTTGGGGACGGGGGGCGGTTCAGATAGGGGATCTACAGTAGCCTTTCAACGCAAGGGCCGCGACCACACATGCGCAATGAGTTCGGTGCAGAATTCTTCTGCACAGTGCGCCACACGTTGCGACTCGTTTGACGCTGGTCCTGTCGGTGAGGACTGGCTGACGGGACTTCGAGCCAAAGCTGCTTAGAGCTTTCGGACTCCCCAGACTAGACCTTTGCACGCAGGCGGAATGCGGGCACACGCGCCGCGCGGCCCCTTGGCTGGTAACTCCAGCAGCTCAGGTCTGCGGGAGTAGTCTATAGCACTGACCCTCTGCCAGCGTGAGAGTAGAGGATTTAATCCTTCTTTAGTCATGATTCAGGCAGAGTCCTGCATGCAGCTTCATTTGTATCACACTTTCTTGTCGCCCCGAAATCTCATTTCATCAACAAAAGCGTTATTGCAGTGCTCGATACATCTAGTTCCCCAAACACAAGTCACAAGTCAAGCGAAGCCTTGGAAAAGGAACTGGCGTCGAAGCTTTCCGAAGAGGGTCGGATGAGCTTCCCCTGAAGTGCTTGTCGAGTTCGGGTTCTTAAGATCCTGGAGTGGGCTGCCTGCGAGAATCTTGACTGGCGACAACGGCATGAAAGTCATGCGGAAAATCCACGAGCCACTGGTCGTTATGTGTACCGATTTGCACATATCTCGAAATACACCCACATGCACCAGCAGTTATTCGCTGGTGCTTGACAAGTCTATTTCGCGCATGGTCATTTTGTAAGCGTTCGTCGTCCACGCTCTTGACGATCCAGTCGTGACTTGTTCGAGTATGCATATATGCCTCTATGCTGCTTAGGTATTTCTACATCTTAGACTTCTGAATCTACGGATGCTGGTTATATAGCTACATCCAAAACTCCTGCATACAGACCCAGACAGAGACGGCCAGGTGCGGAAGGGTTCCTGGCACTGAGACGAATGCCCCTGGGGGGTTCCTTTCTCCGGCTCAGGCGCGCCGCGCTGCCTCGCCATTGCTCGTGGCGCTGCCGGGCAGCTCAGGCACAGCGTGATCCGGCCGCAACGAGCCCCCCCCCTTTTGGCAGGGCGGCAGGGACATGGGTGGTCCTGGTAGACAGCACTGCGGTCGTGAGGCCAAGGGCAGTGAGCTCATCCGAAGCGGAGTTGCGCAGACAGCTGCATTATGGCTTTATGTTACACGTCGTGTGGTGCTTCGAACTGCGAATAGAAAAGTCCTCCTGCTTCCGAACATGTTGGCTCCCATGATGGACTTGATGAGCCCATGTACAACACGACTGTTGTTGGGTGGGTTCGGGCTCAAGTCCGTGGTGCAAAGACGTTATGATGTGCAGCTTGTATTTGGTGCTTCTGCTGCCGTTGAAAACCCTCTTCCGTTTGCCGTGGAGGATGCAAGGAAATAGGGTTCTATCCATCAGCACCCCAATTTCTGTACAAAGCCCAGGTATCCGGCACAAGCAGCGCCTGGGCAGAGAGATACAGATCGTTACTGGAGCTTGGTGGAATCGTGGTCGTCGATTGCCGAGTGGCTAATAACTAATATAATTTAGAAAGTAGGTTGTCGACCTTCGCGCCCCTTATGCAGGCAAAGCACTTCACCAAGCTGGCAAACATTTGAGCTTACGCATTCATGGCAGGCACCGCTTGCTGCATCGCCCGTTCGCCGAAGGTCGGCGATGCTGTGGCAGAAGGCAGGGGGAATCGTCCTGCAAGGCAGGCGATGGAGAGTGTAGCACTGTAGTGGCTCCTCGCGTTTCATGAGTCTGTGCTCCTGCATCTTGACAATTACGATGCGAAGTTGTTATTGCTGAGCAACCTACAATCCTGAAAGTGCGCATCCTTCACTTGAATTCCGAGATCTTGGACCCAACATGTCCAATCTTGACCCACACCTCGAAGCCGCTCGAATCACCATGCAATCCCAACTCATACTCCATCAGAATACGACTCCACTCTTCTGCCAAACTCGATCGCCACTATGACCCCGAGCCTGGCCAGGGCGAGGCAGAGCAGATTCCCAGCAAGAAGCCCATGGCCTGGGTGCAGCCCGAGGAGCCGCCCCTCGCCCTGGGCCTTAATAACTACCTATCTTCTTTTGGGGGCTCCGTATTTTGACTATAGTATAATGGGCACCAAAACCCTATTCTACTGTAATTATTAACGCCCCTATGTTCTGAGTCAGAGGAGCTCTTTGGGTTCTTCGGTGTGGATTTTCAGCTTTTCGGCTTGGGGTGTTTCGGGTTCAGGCGTGCAGGTTTTGGGCTTTGGGCTTCCAACAGGGCCCACTTTGAGCACGAGCACCAAAGGATTTCATCTTGCTGAATTCCGACAGAACCGTATGACATCCAAACAACCTCACTGGCTAGCAATAGCATTCCTTGCAAGCCCTTGCACCCTCCGCGACTTCCACTGCAGAAGCCCCTGGTAAGAGCTTCCCTCGAAGCCGAGATCCCTTCCGAACCAGACCCTGCTGCCCAAGGCTACCCAACGGAGAGGGCGGCAAAGATCCGACAGGCCGGCCGCCACGAATCGATGCAGAAGAAAGGTTTTCATACTTCAGCCAGTGCTACACTTGGTGTTTGGCTGTGGCAAGCCCGTATACGCCCCCGAAGCACACCGAATTAGTCTTCAATCATATCGTCTGCTCCCAAGAATCAGAAAGCCACGATGGGGGCCAGAATACCGTTCGGGAACCCTCAAAAACGCATGTAAGGGCCCACCCGACGGTGCGTGAGACGGCGTTGGGCGTGTTTCTGAAGCAAAGGGTATATGCTGGGCAAAGGCAGGCTAGCAACATCACCAACATTCGGACCGCAAGGGCACTGTGGTCGTCCAATCCGAGGACGCTCAGCACCAGCAGAAGCATCATGAACATCAGTTTCTCGTCTTGCGGACCATGCATGAGCATCATTGTCCACAAACATTCGTACGCGTCATGAGCACCCGAGCTTTCCTTTGCCGCAAGGCTTTCAAGCCATTGAATAAGTGCTGTCACGACCGCCTTCCTTGTTAAATTTATTCACGGTACAGGTAGGTATACTCCTGCACCTGCATTGCCCGCTTCTTGTGGCGACCCCTGCAAAGCACCACTTGCAATCTCGCAGCATGCGAGCTCGGAGGGCGTGGGCAGAGAGGGGACGGCTGCATTAAA